GGGGGTTTTTGCTATTTAAGTATTTCACAGGGGAGTTTTTGCTAGTTTATTTATCATAGGGCGGGTTTTTGCTATTTCTGAGATTATACAGGGGTGGTTTTTGCAGTTTACTCTATATTATTACCCATAAAAATTTGATGGTAAATTTGCCGGAAAAGCGAATATTCCATAAAAAAGTTTACTGTTGAAACTTGAAATAAGTGCTTTGTAACTTTTAAGTGGTGATCTCAGATTTTTGTTCTTGTTTAAAAGCACTTTTTATAACCTATTGAAAATTGCATTGAATATTCTATACTTCACTTTTTCTTTTCTTTTTAATTAATCTAAATTTACTTTAGCAGGACATTTAATGTATTAAAAAAAGGTTAAAAATTGCAAACATTGATAATAGTAATTAATAACAATAATAAATAAATAGATAATAATAGTAATAAAAATTTCCGGTGGGGTGGAACCCATTTTATATTTTATATGGCCTTGTTCCTATTCACATTCAACTATAATTATAAATGTTTGGTGTGCAATTTATTTCTTTCTTCCAAATCAAACATTGTTATGGAAAGCGACAAACATGTGCAAGTTCGACCACTAGCCGAGCCCGAATTTTAAGTTTAGGAGGCCGAATGCACTAAAGAATTTTCGAGGGGACTGTTAATGCGGTTGTACACAATTTTTTATTTATATTCTATATAAAATAATAAAAAATTGAGAAATGTTGTATTCTAGCGCCGAGTATCGGCGTACACATCCGCCTTCATCATTTATTAATCAACTTAATTCCCAACTTTGATTTCATATAATACCTTAAGAACTGCTTGAGCTCGAGATCAATTAAATTTTTTTTTTTTTATATAAAATCGTTCATTAGGTTTTTGCTTTAAAGACAAAAACCTAAATGGTTAAATCCTACTGTATTAATTACGTGGGAATTAAAGGACCAACTACATGTATAAACCCCCTCCAAAAATAATTAATCAATTAATCAAATTAATTAATTGGTTTGGAATACTTAGAAGAAATTGCACGTCTCAATTTACATCCAATGAACCGGAATCTGGTACATATCAATGTCCAATTGTCCACCAAACATCAATTTTAAGACAGCATACTCAGAAAATAAATGATAAATAGATAAGTAAATAAAATAATAATTAAAAAAAGAAAAAAGAAAAAAAGACAGCATATATAGTTAGATTAATTTTGGCGCCAGAATGAGAAACCTTAAGGATACATCATCATAAGGCGCTGTTTGGCTTAGCATGTAATGTGGTCCTTTTTATTTAATTTTCTTGAAAACCCAACTATCAGAAAACTGAACTATATAGACAAAGACAAACACGACAAAGGGGCAATAAATAAAATTAATTAATTTAGTACATTAAATTTGAGTGTTGTGAATCATGGGATCAAAAAATCAAACTGCCTTCCATAGTCTATACATTTGATAGAGAAGTGTGTATATATGTAGCCATGTGACATTGCGTTTTCCTAATTGGTCCACGTCAGCATGCGTTACATCCACAATATAAAATCAAATTAAAAATTAAAATTAATATCCAGAATTGAATTGCCCATAATCATCCCATGTGGTTGTATTTTTATGCAATGACCAAATCATGTTATTGTTGTATGTGTGAAGCCAAAAATTATAAGGTTTGGTCCATGTTATTCCTATATAGTAGGTTACATGTGTGGAAACATATTTTATGGGATTATTATTCACTCTTTATTATTATTATGGATGATCCTTCATAAATATATATTAATTAACTAGGTGTCCGGTCGCGAAGTCAGCATAGAGTCTGGGGGTCACGACCCCCCTAACATTTCTCAAAATAATATTAATTTATATAGAAATATAACATTTACGTACAATAGCATTAACGGTCTCCTTCAGAATTCTTTTAATACATTCAACCCCTCGAACTTTTATATATATATATATATATATATATATATATATATATATATATATATATATATATATATAAATGGCAAGAGGAGTAGTAATATAACATTTACGTACAATAACAGTAACAGTCTCCTTCAGAATTCTTTTAATGCATTCGACCCCTCGAACTTAAAATCCTGACTCTAATATATATATATATATATATATATATATATATATATATATATATATGTGGCAAGAGGAGTAGAGTAGTAATGTTCAATAATAAATACACGTCAAAGATGAACCTGCAGAAAAAAACAGGCATAATTAATTTAGCCGCAGCATATACATATGATCTTGTCTAGACTTAATTTTTAAATTAATCCCTCTAATTAGATAATGTTTAGGAAAACGTCAAAAGAAAAAACATGATTATATTTTGCATAATTAACATTAATTCCCGCAAAAATCGGCTCTTTGTCCCCCCTCTATATGACTGGTCGCCCATCACTATTGAATTATTGATAATGATATATATATTAGTATAGTATACCTTTTCTAGTTAATAATTTAATTCACTCCCATGCAATATAAATATATATATAATGACAATAATACAGTGTTAAGATTCCAAAAAATACTTATTATAGATATTGTTGCACAATCTTTTAAAATAAAATAATTAAATAAATTCAGTAGGTGAATATGCATATAAATTATGGGTTTTCTGTCAGTACTAGTGATTAATTAACAATTAAATTGGGTATTATTTTTTTTGGTTTTATCAGGGTTATGATTAATTATTTGCATGTTTAGGAAGCATAATCCAATCATATAGCAGGATTTGCTCCTGATTCGTCTAATCATTTGTAATTATGGCATTTAATTTAATTTAATTTATTTTATCGCGAAACTCTCGATTAAACTGGACGTAAATCAACTGAGTACTTTATGTAGTTAATTTATTAATCAACTATAAGCGATTACGTAAACTATCACATAAATTCGATGGAAGTAAAATCGACTATATTCTGTTGTGGAAATATGCAGTGGAAACCTTATAATAGCACATTTATCCGGAAAATTACAGAGCTCGGGCTACTTTATTATGGTTAAGCTAGGGCTTCCCCCATTAAAAAATCCCAGAATTTGGAAATTGGAATTTCAGAAATTTAAATGAAATAAATTGTTTCAAAATTGGAATTTTATTGATCAAAATCAACAAAATTCGCAATTTCTACTTCTTCAGCCACCTGCAGTACAGAGTACATGGTAGAAGTGTCGTAGATAACCAAATAGGACATCGTAATTGCATATAAATATTCAAATTCCGTTCCAACAAAATTTGGAAAAATCGGAAATCGAAATATTAAGTATTCAGACAGAAAAATATTGTGCTAAAATCAATTTTACTTGGATCGAAATATACGGAATTCGAAAAGTTCATTCAAGTTTCAACCCAAATCGAATGTTTTCAGAGTACCAAATCCAATATTCGAGATCAGACGCACAATTTAAATCCGTACTTGGATTAATGTCTTCTACCAGAAACAAAAAAAAAAGGAAAACATCAAAACGAAAAATAAACCCGAAAAAAGAAACAACAATACTTCCTTCAAACGACGCGACAATTATCGCAGATTGCTCCACATGTAAGTTCAAGTATTATTTTCTCTACGTCGTTTTAATTAACGAGCTTCATGGCTCCATTACGCCGCATCCTACGTTCATTCCATTTATCCTGCACACGTGGATAAATCAATAAATTAATAAATAAATCAATAAACAATTAACGACACGTGAAAACAAATCGTACAAGAAAATTGAAAAGAGAAAATTACGTACCACCAAAACAAATTCATGCACGTACGAAAATGCCCTTTTCCAAGAAGCGACTTGGCCAACAATTCCGACGTCACACATATCATATTCAACGACCAACTTCTTCAATCTCGGCATTTCAGCCAGCTGGCAAAGCTCCTCCGTTTCGTCTACGACGTTACACATCCGCATCTCCAATTTAAGCGTCACCAATTGCGAAACGCAGCAAGAAAACACCGAGAGCACACGTTTCATAGAAACGCACTCTCTGTTAAAACCGACGGTGACATGAACTAGCATCGGAACGTTCTCGAGCAAAAGCCCCGCCAAACTCGTAACCCTAAGCGACGCAAGCCTCGGGGCGGAAATCTTGAGCGATTCCAAATCAGTGCAATTGACTATCTCCAAGTGTTTCAGCACGAGCGACGAGCCACAAACTTCGATCTTTGTTATTCTTCCTGGCCAACGGAGAATCAATTGTTCGAGAAGAGGGCAGTTACGTAAAAGTAACTCGATAGCTCCACCGCGCATGTTAACACACTTGAACCCCAATCCTTTGAGGGAACTGAAGTCGAAAAGTGTGTTACTTGGTGCAAACAACTCCTTCGGGAAACGATAATATTCGTACCAATAGTAACAAAACGGGTAGCTCTCGAAGTTCAACTCCAGCATCTCAACTTGTTTGGAGAATGCGAATTCGAGCCAACGGGTGATTGAATCATCGGACGATCTGTCTAAAGGAAAACAGATTCTGAAATCTTTCAATGCAGGAGATTTGTGCGATTTGATAACGGAGTCCACCCAGTTAAGTAACTTTTTAAGGTTTGGTCGGTATGCATTTTGAGATTCGAAATCGAGAGAGGGTGTGCGTTTCCAAAGGTTTTTCCAACGGGGTGAAAGGATGCTGGTTCGACCTGCTTCCTTGAGCGGTAGGAGAGAGATTATATCGACAAGAATGCCATCTGATAACTGACTTATCCGATCTTCATCACCTCCCGCAAAACTTGCCTCACCACACTGTCGGTCAAAGAATATAAATACTAAATCATAATCGAATCATCATTCCCAGAGAATTTGATATCTTGTTGTTGCAAATTGAACCCGAGAAAGAAACATGGTACTAGATGTTCAAAAATCATATATATAAAAAAAAAAATTAGAATTTGGGTTTTCAGATACCATCAAAATTAGGGCTTCATACACCATCAAAATTAGGGTTTCATACACCATCAAAATTAGGGTTTTCATATACCATCAAAATTAGGGCTTCACACACCATCAAAATTAGGGCTTTACACACCATCAAAATTAGGGTTTCACACACCATCAAAGTTAGGGTGTCCACATACCATTAAAATTAGGGATTTCTTATACCATCAAAATTAGGGATTTTATTCGAGGGGCATATACATACAGGATTAGTTAACACACACACACACACAAGTAAAGAGAAAAGAGATAGAAGATTTGTCGATGAAAGCTGACCTTGTTCATCTGGGTTTGAGCTTTGGTGTCGATTTTGAGTCGCTTCCCATCATCCATAAAGCTTGAATTTTCGGACATGGCTCTTTGCAGTTGACGGAGACAGAAAAACGGAGAAACCTAGAAAACCTAGAAATGAAGTGATGTTTTATAGACGGAGAATAATATTGCATCAATTGCTTTGAGGTTTTTCTGTAACGACGCGTGTCAACTGAAAAATCCATTTGTAAAAGACGTATCTGTGTAATTTCATGCCAACCTCATCGTATTAATATTTTAACATTTTTGATTGTATTCCTTATATTTTATTATAAATTAATTTGCTGTAACCCTGCATAATACCAAAATATTTCCTAAAATAAATAGTTTGTTTAATATTGTCAATCAATATTTTTCCATACAATCGGTCAACAAATAGTAGATTTCTTTCCTCAAAAAAAAAAAAAAAAGAAAAAATAGTAGATTTCTTTTCTATATAGGGATGGCAATCGATTGGATTGGTTGAATATCGTCTATCGAATCGATTCAACGCAACCATTGCATATCTAACATAAATCGGAGAAAATAATAATTCAAATAGTCAAAACCAGTTGAAGTGTACTAGATTCTGGATATGGAAATTAGGGTTTTACGAGACTTGAATCGAAAACAGCTAAGCAAGGTAAAAATTAATTAAATTGATTAGATAGCTAACACGATAATCGGATAAAGCATAAAGTGATAGATCGGTACATCGTCGGGCTATTTATAGGCAGCATCCAAAGGTGAGGTAAGGGTCACATGCAGCGCACACTCCGCTGTACGTACTTCCATGCAGAAGATCGGAAACGGCGTCGCATTCGTTGCTCTAACTACGCAAACGTTGATTATTTAAATTAAAGAAATGTGGACACGTTTATTAAGTAGAACAATGTCGACTAAACAAAATTAAAGATTAGGTAAAACGGTTCATTTCACGGCATAGTTGGGCTCGAGATTTCCCGTTTATCGATCTCTTTATGATTTATCGGATTATCGTGTGAGCTAGCTAATCAATTTAATTCATTTTTACCTTGCTTAGCTGTTTTCCATTCAAATATTTATTCCAATTTCAATCAAAAATAAAAAATAGAAATACAAATTGGAAATTAGAAATCGGAACTTTTGGGATTCATATCAAAAATATATGTTCCAAAATCAAAATTAATTGAATTCAAATTGATGTTAATTGAAGTATCAAATCCAACATTCAATATTGTTGTTCACGACACATATACTAAGTATTAGTCTCAATTGAGAAAGTTAAAGAATAACCAATTCAACGCCGTGAGGCAATTGCGGCTCAATATGTTGTTTTGCCACGTCTCTCGCACTTTTTTCCAGCATCACGCGACTTGATCGGTTGTAAAAAAATATAACACACGGATCGATTATTATTTTCTCAAGCACTGTGCAGTTCTTCAAAATGTACCGAACTAATGCATTGTTACTGGAGCAAAACTGATATCCACAAAATCTGAACACTTTAAGATGCTCGTGCCGAAACCTTGCATTAATAGCTGCAGCATCATAGTCCCCTTGTCTATGCTTTAGCCGACCTTCTAACCTTTTATTCTGCACACGTAGACGAAAATCATTCAAGTAGCGTATTTATGTTTGCTTTTTATTACATGTTGATACAGACGAACACTAAAAAAAAAAAAAAAAAAAAAAAAACTTTGAGAGAAACTTATTATAACCTACATGTAAAACAAGTTCCTGCAAGTAAGGAGACGCCCTTATCAGAGAAGCGAACCTAACGAGACTTTGATCGTCAAATGAAAAACATTCGATGACCAACTTATTCAATTTAGGCATTTCAGGGAAATAACTGTAGAGCTCGTTCGTTTCTCTATCGTAACTCTTCGACAACACCAAATTAAGAGTCTCCAATTGAGAAATGCAGCTAGACAATACAGAAAGTAAATGTTTCACAGAAATACTATCATAGTCGCAACTGACGGTTGCATCAACCAGCATTGGAACATTCTCGAGCGAAACTCCTTTTAGACTCGTAACCCTAAGCGAGGCGAGATTCGGAGCGTAAACTTTAAGTGATTGCAAGCCCGTGCAGTTGACTATCTCCAAGTGTTTCAGCACGAGCGATGGACCACAAACTTCGATCGTTGGTATGTTCCATGCGGTATGGACAATCAATTGTTCGAGTAAAGGGCAGTTACGTAAAAATAACTCGATTTCTCCACCTCTCAAAGTAACTCTTTTAAGCGACAATGCTTTGAGGGACTTAAATTCGAGAACCGTATTGCTTCTTGGGGCAAATAACTCGTTGGGGAAACAAAAGTTATTATAGTAAACTGGAAAGTCCAACTCCAAACTCCGAACATGTCTGGAAAACGCGAATTCAAGCCACTGAGTAATGGAATTACCATCTGCAGGAAAACGGATCCTAAATTTTTTTAAGGTGGGGGATTTGTTTGATCGGATAACGGAGTTCACCCAGTTCACGTACTTGTGTCCGAAGCTTTTGAGCGAAGCTGGCGTGTCCAAATCAAGACAAGTTATATGTTTCCATAAGTTTATCCAACGGGACGAAAGAACACTCGTTCGAGCTGCTTCTTTGAGCGATAGAAAAGACAATATATCGACAAGAACGTCGTCGGGCAACTGACTTATCCGATCATCGACCACAAAACTCATCTTACCACACTGTCAGTTAAACAAGATTGTACATTAGAACTACTTAACAACGCAATAAGAAGAAAGTTTTGCATTAAATAAATCTTCAATCAGAAAGCTATACCTTATCAGTACAGTATCAGATAAAAAAATTAGGGTTTTAGTTTAGCAACAAAATTAGGGATTTTAAAGCAACAATCTTGAAAATTTAGGGTTTTAGTTTAGCAACAAAATTAGGGATTTTAAAGCAACAATCTTGAAAAATTAGGGTTTTAGTTTAGCAACAAGATTAAGGATTTTAAAGCAACAATTGAATTGAAATCTTACGCTGTTCGTTTGGGGTTGGAGCTTGAATCTTTGTACAGAGAACCTCGCAATTGCCAAACAATAAACCGGAGAAACAATAGAAAAAATCTTATGGAATTAATTAAATTTAAAAGGAAAATCTCTTATAAATGAAATATACGAATTGATTGATTCAAAAGTTGTTGTAAAAAAAAAAGGAAAGACAAACTAGGTCAAATTCTACACGAAAGACTATAGGCCCAAGCCCTAATAGTTGGGTAACTGAGTTATCCAATCATAACTAGGGTTGTATTTAATGGAATTGACGTTTATACCCTCAGAAAAACTCACATGCCAGGCACGTGCAAACAATTCCAGTGGAAATTAATGACATATTTAAGGCATCGTGAAACAATTTAATGAGTTTAGGTAAAAAATTATAAATTTCTTTTGTCTAGGTAACGTGCAAAACTTAAAAAAAAAAAAAAGAATAAGAACGAAACAAATTGCCCAAAAAAAAAAATTCAAAATGTAATCGGCGGATTTAGAATTTCTATATTTTTAGTTATCTATAATATAACATACATAATAATATTCAGAATTCAAAAAATCTAATATTTATTCCAATTCCGTTCCCAAAAAATTGGAAATCTAGAAATCGGAACTTTCAGGATTCGGATAGAGAAATATTGTTCCAAAATCAAAGCAATGTGGATCGGAGTTGATGGTATTCGAGACCCACAATCAAAATCAACATAAGTGAATTTAATGAAATCGGTAAAGGATCGATCGACTATTGCAGTCTATTTCGATGTCCGCATCGACATCCTCGACGAGTTGGGAGCTGATTCGTCGGGCGGGAAAGGCACTTGACGGATAGCATCGGAACATTCTCGAGCACAACTCCCTTTAAACTCATAACCGTAAGCGAAGTAAGGCTCGGCACCGAAGAAACTGTAGACGCATAAAATTAATTAATTGGTTATTTAAATTAGCCAATTAAATTGTGTCTAAATTAAATTATAATTTATCTTACAAAATAAGTTATGGAGATAATTATCAATTAATTATTGGCCAATAGGATTATTTCTTCTCTTCCAAGTTATAAGAGATAAATATCAATTTAAAGAGAGCCAATCAAATCGCGCCACGTCATCAAGTAGACTTTAAGTAGGACTCTTATTCTACCACTATAAATAGGGACCCTCTCTACACAATTCAAAACACAACTCAAGAAGAAGAAAAACCGTAGGAGAAAATTCTCTCTACAATATTCAAGTCATTCTTCATCAAATTCAAGGCGTTCTTCATCAAATCGAGGGCGTTCTTCAACAAATCAAGATCGAAGGAAGATTAAAGGGTCAAATACATCAAGAACTCCAAGATCTTCAAGTCAAAACCCGTCAAAGTTCAGCGTTTCGATCCGAGATTCAAGTCGCAAGACCCTCGGAAGACGTTATTCAAATCCAAATCAAATCCGGAGAAGATCAAGTCATGGATGGAAAGAATGCCAAAAAAAAAAAAAGATCCAATTTTATGGCAGCTAAAGAAAGATGGCACATCCAATCTTTTCATATCGGAACCAAAGAAACAAGCGAAATCGGGGGAGACAACACAGCAATGGTACCGCGGTTGCTGTCAATATTTCTTAGCAATGGTACCGCGGTTGCTGTCAACATTTCTTTCCACTAACATCAAATCAAGGAGGCCGACCGGAAATGCCATCACCGCGCAAAGTAGTCGACGGTGTAATGTCATGTTCCGGCCGCCGCAAATCGTTGGCCGCTCAGATCCGCCGCCTCAACAGTGCCGCCGACCGGAAATGCCATCCCACCCAAATCAGTCGACGGTGTTATCTCATGTTCCCACCACCGCAAACCAGTGGCCTCTTAAATCCATCACCTTAAATTCACGTCCACCAAGCGCTGGCCCTCCCCGCTTTGCCGCCTAAATCAGCTGCCGGAGTTGTCACCTAATCCCGCCGCTCCAAACCACTCTGAGTTAAATCGCCACCTCAAGCACGCCGCTGAACTAGCTGGAGAGCCACGTAATGGATGCTTCGGATCCACAGTCATGAGGTGCGGGTAGATGAGAGTTAGAGGAATGAACGGCAAAAGTCTTGGCTGATGGCGGCGAGAGTCTGAATGTTAAAGGGATGGGTGAAGCCGGTGAAGGAGATACGGACGATCCCCCAAATTGTGGGATAAAAATCCAAATTGAAATTCGGTCCTTAACGACTTTTCAATTAAGTCCCTGAAGTTGAAACAAGTTGGTAATTAAACCCAAAAATTGAAGAATGGGGTTCAAGAAAAAAAAAAAAAAAAAAGGTGGAAAATAGATTCGAGTACTTCAAGTCTCGTCTCTCATTTGACATGTTCTTCGCCGAGACTAGAAGTGGGGGCATTTGTAGACATCGAAATTTTGAGATAAATTATTAATTAATAACCAAAATAAATCGGTTATTAATTTAGGTCTCAAATTAAAGTCCATAATATATTTGGGCTTTAAAATGTCTGGCCCACTATGCAAGTCGAGAAACCCTAACCCTAGCTTGTGCCTATAAAAGAAGATCTTTGGTGCATCTAAAAATAAGACTCACACAGACACATATCGAGCTCTCAAGCTCACGTCTCGAGCCTCCGCCTCGAATTCATAACATATTTGAATTCGAGATGTTCGTGATAGGAAATCATATATTCGATTCCTCGAATTCATAACATATTTAGATTCGAGATGTTCGTGATAGGAAATCATATGTTCGATTCAAGAACAAGCTTTTAAGCCCTTGAATCAAAATTAGAATAGGAGAGAAGAATCAGGGGAATTACGGAGATTGTAATCCGCTTTCGTTTGATAATAAATTTATTTGTTTCCTATATTTTTCTTGTCTTGTATTTATGTTTTGCAGACACGAAAAATTTGTGGTTAACAGAAACTTTAAGTGATTCCAAACCCGAGAAACATAATATCTCCAAGTGTTTCAACACGAGCGACGGACCACAAACTTCGAGCTTCGATATTTTTCTAGGTGAACGGACAATCAGCTTTTCGAGCAGAGGGCAGTTACGTAGAAAGAACTCGATAGCTCAGCCGCTCACGTTGACATTCTTGAACGACAACTCTTTGAGCGACTTAACGTCGAAAACCTTATTACTGCTCGGGGCAAATAACTCCTCGGGGAAACGATAACAATCGCCCCAGTATGTGGGAATAGGAAAGTCCAGCTCCAAACTCTGAACTTGTCTGGAAACGGCGAATTCAAGCCACCGATTGATCGAACACCTGTCCGACGTGTCTAAACTGTAATTAATTCTGAACTGTTTTACGGTGGGAGATTTGTGCGATTGGACGACGGAGTTCACCCATTTCATGTACTTGCGTTTCTCGCTCTTGAGCAACTTGTATTGGCTCTCGACCTCTTCCAATGATTTTTTCTTTCCCTCATTCGATATCGAGATCCCTCGTAGCGCGCATTGACCGTCGAAATCAAGGGAGTGGGTGTGTTTCCACAGGTTCATCCAACGGGACGAAAGAACACTAGTGCGACCTGCTTCTTTCAGCGATAGCAACGACAAAACATCAGTGAGAATTTCGTCCGGCAACTGACTTATCCGATCGTCGTTATCGACCACAGAGCTTCTCTTACCACGCTGTCTCAGTCAAACAAGACGATGAAATACTAAATTAGGATTTAGAACTACTGCACACAAATGCAATTAGAGGGGAAGTTGCACAGAATTCGAATTCGATAATCATATAAAAAAATTAAATTAGGGTTTCAACAAAAATGGAATTTTATGCAAGAGAGATAACATAGAGCCAGAAACTAGAGAGAGAAAAAAAAATTGCCACAATCTTCAGATCACAGTAACCATTAACGTATACATAAACATTTGTCGAAAGGTTACCTTGTTCTTCTTCTTCGTCTTCTTCTTCTCGGGTTGAATTTTGGTATCAATTTTGAGTCGCTTCACACCCATGATAAAGCTTGAATATTTAGACAGAAATTGAGAAACAAATAATGGGCGCAGAAATCGGCGTATTTATTGTAAGATTTTAGAATTGTTTATAGTAGTTGGGCTAGGGTTTCCCGATTAAGAAGTCAACGAAATGAATTTGGGCCCATTTTATGATCGAAATCGCGGCCACCTTCAACTAGACGATGCCTTCCCGCCACCGCCACCGCCACCGCCACCGCCGCGACGTCGCCTCAAGTACCTTACCGTCCAGAGCCACCCACCGCCTTTGGATAACCTCATTACATTTCCCTTCTGTACCCGTATTAATTTACAGTTGATAATAATATTTATTTTGAATATATTTTTATACGATTTATATAAAAAAAAATATCATATGCGTTTATATAGTATATTTATAAATGTACTTTTATACTTTTAATATTTATACGTTTTCTCCAAATTCCTATATTCCTATTTTGGGTCATGGCACATTTCGGTGTCCGTTTCCCCACTTTCCCATTTCCGTGTTCATTTATAAGTTTTCCCTCCATTTTTGGGACATGGTGTATCTACGTGTCCGTTTCCCCACTTTCCATTTCCGTCTCCGTGCTATATATTTTGTATGAGTACGGAGGATGTTGGAATTTTGTCATTAGATTATCCATCAAATTACATTTGATTTTGCCGAAAATAACATGCTGTAATTTAATTTTTGTTTCCAAGTTTGTGAAAGGTAATAAATTTCCAAGTTTGCATTGCCCTTGTTGTTGGCCCCCAAACTCGAGAAACAGACTATCTCCAAGTGTTTCAACACGAGCGACGAACCACAAACTTCGAGCTTCGATAATTTTCCCAGGGAATGGACAGTCAACTTTTCGAGCAGAGGGCAGTTACGTAAAAATGACTCGATGGATCCACCACTCACATTAACATGTTTAAAGAACAATTCTTTGAGTCGCTTGAAGTCAAAAGCCATACTGCCTGGGGCAAATAACTCCTCGGGGAAACGATAATTTTCGTGCCGAATTTTTGTAAACACGACAGTGCAACACCAGACTCTGAACTTGTCTGGAAGATGCGAATTGAAGCCACAGAGTGATCGAATTCTTGTCTGATGTGTCTAAAGCGTAACGGAGTCTGAACTGTTTTAAGGTGGGAGATTTGTGGGATTGGATAACGGAGTTCACCCATTCCGTGTACTTACGTCTCTTGCTCTTGGGTAACTTACATAGTTTCTCAAGCTCTTCCAATGGTATGTCCTTTCCCATGGACTCTTTCAATTTTGCTTCAAATGAGATTTCACCGTCGAAATCGAGAGAGGGGGTGTGCTTCCATAGGTTTATCCAACGGGTAGAAAGAACACTCGTGCGACCTGCTTCCTTGAGCGATAGGAGACATAGTATATCGACGAGAATATCGTCCGGCAACTGACTAATCCGATCATCATCATCATCATTGCCCGCGAAAATTCTCTCGGCACACTGTCAGTCAAACAAGATAAATACTATATACATTACGGACTCGTTTGGTTCTTAAGATAAGATTATATAATTAATCATAGCTAATCACCCCCAACCATTGACTAACTCATCTACTAAAATACTACATTTGCTAATCTTATCCAAAGGAAACTATCATAATTCCCACAAAACTTGATATCTTGTTCCAGATTCAAGTGGGAGAAAAAAGAAGTACCGTATATTGAATAATCATATCAAAAAAATTGAATTAGGGTTTTCAATTTATACCAATAAAATTAGGGTTTTTTATAGCAGAGAATAAATACAGCACAAATCTTCAATTGAAAGTTCACCTTCTTCTTCGTGGGTTGGAAATTGCTTAGACAGGAAAACAAGAATTAATCATATAAAAATATTTTCTGTAAATTAAAACAAATAAAAGATAACATTTTCGCACGTGTGGAATTGTACACAAACGTTGGGCTGGTCGGTAAAGCGGTCCTCTTATATATCCCGTTAAGAAGAAAACGAATTGAAGTTGGGCCCATTATTAGAGGAAGAAATCAAACAAATCGGATTTGAATTAGCACTTTCGGAATTTTTTTTAAATTTTTAGTAAGTGGAAAAATTGATTCCAACTCGTTACAAAAATAATGCAAAGATTGTAAATCGTTTTTTTTTTTTTTGAAATTGGAACGGAAAAACTTATTTCACAATTATAAATTTTCAAATCGAAATAGACGGAATTTGGAATTTTTATTTTGTTCGGTCACCGGTAATATAAAATACATAGATTTTCGAAAATTAAAATAGGATTTTCGTTGATTAAAATGGAAACCGGAGCATTCGAGAATCAGACCGAAAAATATTGTTCCAAAATAAAATTTATTTGGATTGCAATCAATAGTTTGAAAATCTCGTTCGAATTTCCACCCATAGCCCATCTTTTCGGGATATAAAATTCAATATTCAATATTATCCATCAAATTACATTTAGCACCAGACTTGGATCAATTATTATTTTCTCAAGAAGTTTATAAATTCATAAAAACAAATAAAAAATAAAAATAAAAAACAAAAACATAAGATAACGTAAAGTTAAAGAATAATCAATTTAACGTGGTGAGGCAAATGTGGTTCAAGATGTAGCTTCGCCTTCTTCCTCGCAGCTTCCTCCACACTTAATATGTATCTATCAAATCCGTCAGGGCAATATTCAGAAGCATAGGGATCAATTATTATTTTCTCAAGCACAACGCAATTCTCCAATATGTATTCGACTAACGCATTGTGGCTCGGGCGGCCATAGTACCCACAAAATTTGAACACTTTAAGGTGCTCGTGCCGAAACTTTATAGTAGCACCATCATCGTCGACTCGTGTAGGACTTATCCCACTTCCAAACTGTTTGTTCTGCACACTCAGAGAAATAAAAAAGAAGGAACAAAATAATACTAGTAGCATATTTATGTTTGCTTTTATAATATATATTGACAAGCACAAAACATGAAAAAGAATTTGACCTACATTTAGAACGAATTCCTGCAAGTGCGGAGATGCCCTTGTCAGTGAAGCGAGTCTCATAAAAAATCGGTCGTCATCATCAAAAGAATCATATTCGACAACCAACTTCTTCAATTTAGGCATTTCAGGAAAATTGCCAGCTCGTCGTTTTCTTGTTTATCGTGATACAGCGGCATCAGCAATTTAAGAGTTTCCAATTGAGAAAAGCAGTAAGACAGTGCGTGAATTAAATTTTTCAGACAATCAAGACCGTCATAGGTACCACCGACACATACATCAACCAGCATTGGAACATTCTCGAGCAAAACTCCCTTTAAACTCGTAACCCTAAGCGAAGTAAGGCTCGGCGCGGAAATTTTAAGTGATTCCAAACCCACGAAAGAGACTATCTCCAAGTGTTTCAACACGAGTGACGAACCACAAATTTCGAGCTTTGATACATATTTTCCTGGGGAATTGATAATCAATTGTTCGAGCTGAGTGCAGTTATGTATAAAGAACTCAGATAGCTCCGCCACTCAATTGAACATTCTTAAAAGACAATTCTTTGAGGGACTGAAAGTCCAAAATCATATTGCTCCGGGCAAGTAACTGTTCGGGGAAACAAGAACAAGTATCATAGTTACGAAACTCTGGATCATCAAGGTGCAACTCCAACCTCTGAACATGTCTGGAAAATGCGAATTCAAGCCACCGAGTGATCGGAGAATTAGCGTACGATGCGTCTAAAGGAAAATTGATTTTGAATTCTTTTATTGCGAGTGATTTGTGTGATTCGACAACACGGTTCACCATTTTGACGTACTTGGGCCCCGCGCTATCGATTAACTCATTCCATGACACGTCCGATTCAATGTCAGCCTCAAAATGGAGAGAGGGGGTGTGTTTCCACAAGTTTAACCAACTGAACGAAAGAACACTCGTTCGAGCTGCTTCTTTCAGCGATAGCAAAGACAATATATGGATACGAACTTCTACCGGCAAATGACTTATCCGATCAACACCATCACCCACCACAAAACTTTTATTAGCAAACTGTCAATCAAACAAGATGATACAAAATACTACATTAGAATTCTTAACAACTGCTCAAAGATGCAATAATCCACACATAAATTGATACCTTTGCTGATTTTATCCAAAGTAAACTATCATAATCCCCTAAAAAAAAATGATATCTTTGTTGCAAAATAATGTGTCAGATCAGAAAATTGAATTAGGGTTTTCTCGATTAGAAACAAAAGAAGGGGATTTTACGCAAGAGAAATACATATAGCAAAAAAGTACTATTAAAAAAAAAGCCACGATCTTCGATCGGAATCTTACCTTAATCTTCTTATAGGGTGGCAAATTGGAATCAGTTCTGATGACACGCTTCCGGCGCGTGGAGCTTGCGTCTTTGTACATGATCCTCCGCAAACAGAGAAAGAAGAAAAATATTATGGTATGAGATTGATCAAATATAAATAGTTTCTCTGAAGCACGCTAACCAACCCTAAGCCATTTGTATAATTATTTTTAAATACTATTTTTTTTTCCCCTTTTTTATCTCAATGAAACTTTTTTTTCTCCACTAATTTCCATTTTTTTATTTTTACATTTTTTAAATTTTTTTTATTTGTTCGACTCTACACTCGGTGATAAATACCGGGGGTCTTCTGCTATCACGTGTCTTTTTTTTGTACTTTATAATAGATTCTCCGCTAGGGTTTACCTTTAGGGGTTTTAGAAAAATAAAAAAAGAAACACGTGACAGAAAAATACCCACCCTGTGTTTATCACCGGGTGTAGGGTCGAATGAACCTTGTACTGCATATCAACGGTACTAGACTACTAGTGATAACAAAAGTGTCTTTAGTACCATGCTATAAAAATCATATACCGAAAGATAGTTCATCAAAAATTCAAAAACATTATTATCTTTCCTTTAAAATGTAGCATATATATCATTATTTGTATTTCGTATCTTCATTATTTAAATTTAATATTTTAAAATTTTCTTTAGACTTTTCAATTAATATTTTTAATAAATAAAATATTTTTTCCTCCAATTAATCAGTTCAATAAAAGAGGAGAAAGTATAGGGTTGTCATTAAAATTTAAGATACAAACTGAATGATGCACAAGTGTCACAAATAATAGTCCAATTACAATAAAATACTTTGTGGAGTAAATGTTACACATATTATACTAGTCCAAGGAGGTAAATGTTCCAATAAAATACTTCGTGGAAGTAAATGTTACACATATTATACTTTTGGAATGTAAAGTGTATTTAATTTTATTAGAGTAAACTGCAAATACTACCTCTGTGTTATCTCGAAATAGCGAAAACCCCCCTGTGATAAATAAACTAGCATAAAACCGCCTGTGAAATTTAGTCAAAGGCAGAATCCCCCCTAGCTGATTTTTTAGACTTGAAATGACAAAATTGTCCCTCAAAATGTATTTATATATATACATATTATATGTATATTTATTCTTTTTAATTTGTTTGTTTAGAAATTAAAAAAAATATAAAACAACTAAATTGATTATTTTTTAAATAAAATAATTAAAATATTTATAAAATATGAGAATTTATTAATTGCAAGACTCCAGGGGTAATTGTGTCTTTTTATATCAAGTCAACCCTCAAATAGTTCCATAGGGGGGTTTTTGCTATTTAAATAATTTCACAGGGGAGGTTTTTGCTAGTTTATTTATCATAGGGGGGTTTTTGCTATTTCGAGATTACACAGGGATAGTTTTTGCAGTTTACTCAATTTTATTATATTAGGGTAAATTACGAAAAAACCCTGAATTTAGACTAAATAATAAAAAAAATATCTCATCTATTCGTAATTACTAAAAAGTCCTTGATGTTTGTTTCCGTCTTACGCCAACTCTTACCGTGTGACTTTTCACGAACTTTTTTTTTATTTCAGGTAATAAACTTTACACAATTTCTGATATTTTCTTTTATTTCTCACCTATTTAACATAGGGTATAAATAATAAACCGTACACATTTTCTGTTAGAAAAACTCAATCAACAGTTAATTAGGGAAAAATTTTGGCTATTGCGGATAGATGCGGATGTTTTTCGTTATTTAGCCCAAGTTAAGGGGTCTTCATAAATTTACCCTAATTATTATTATAGGCACGGTACTGTGGTGGGCACGAGATCCAACGTTGCACCATTTAGCGCCGTTACTATGAAACACGGCTTCTCCAATCTTCCGAAGTTTCTACAGAAAAACTAACGACTTTATACTTTATAGAACAGAACAATCTAGTCGAAGTCGAATCGCAAACAACTGTACAGAACGCAACAGCAGAAGCCCGGCCACCTCCTCTCCGATTCGGGCCCACCGGCAATCACCGTCATTGTATACGAAATTCCGAATTTTCTCAACCGTCACACGGTGTGACTCACACCGGACCACTCATGCATTTGGCTTTCCGATTCCCCCACCTACTCTCCAGAATTCTCCACCGCACACGCTCACAGCACACTTCCCACCGCCGCCGCTGAAAATATGAGCCTACCTGCCGGACTCCACACTGAATTTCTGCTCCCGCGTTCAGCTCTCCACCGGCGGACGATCCCTTCCCGCCAGAACCAGCGCGCGTGGAAACGACGCCGTCTCAAGCCACTCACTCTCCGGAGCCACTTAAATCCCTTCGACAGCATCTTCCATAGCTTACTCTCCCAATTCTCTTCTGCGAACTCGCTCAATCTCATCGCCCCAACCCTCGGCCTCGCCTCCGGCCTCGCCCTATTCTTCTCTTCTAGTTCCCCCAAATTTCCTGCCGCGGAGCCTCCATCAATCGGAAATTCAGATACCGACATAGGTGAGTGGATCCTGTTCACTAGTCCCACGCCTTTTAATCGTTTCGTGACGTTGCGCTGCCGTTCGATTTACTTCCCCGGAAACGAATTGTTGGAGAATGTGAATGAAAAGCTTGTCAAAGAGGAGAGGCATTATGTGAAATTGAACAGTGGGAGAATGATTCAGCTTGCGGAGGGCGATGGTGATGTTGATGAGAATATGGTGTATCAGAGGATTTGTATCGACACTGAGGATGGTGGAGTTTTGTCGTTGGATTGGCCGGTAAATTTGGACTTGGAGGAGGAGCGTGGGTTGGATACGACTGTGTTGATTGTTCCAGGAACTGCCGAGGGGAGTAATGAGAGGAAAATCAGGGTATTTGTGTGCGATTGTTTGAGGCGTGGGGTTTTTCCGGTTGTTATGAATCCAAGAGGATGCGCAGGCTCACCATTGACTACTGCACGGTTAGTATTGTCAAATACCGTTTCATTTTGTAATGGTATTCGTCGCTTGTACACGTCTTAGTTTATGTGTGCAGATCAAATACGAATCCAGACGACATATATAAGTAGTTTATAATCATGAAGATTAGGCTCGAGTTTCTAATTCATAAGATTTTTCATTGCTTGTCTGCACTGATAGCAGTATCCTATAACTACTTCATTGATGTAGGTTATTTACAGCTGCTGACAGCGATGATATCTCCACAGCTGTACAGCATATAAACAAGAAAAGGCCATGGACAACGTTAATGGGAGTTGGCTGGGGTTACGGTGCAAATATGTTGACAAAGTACTTGGCGGAATCTGGGGAGAGAACACCTCTTACAGCTGCAACATGCATAGACAATCCTTTCGACTTGGAGGAAGCCATGAGGTCGTCAGTCTATAATAATACCGATTTTAAGCAGAGACACGTAGATGGCTTGATCAAGATACTTCAGTGTAACAAGGTTTCCTTTTCTAATAGAAAACTTCGGTTTTTTTTCTTTAGAACTCCAACATAGATAGTTGTTTCATACAGGAGATTTTTCATGCCTGTAAATGGCATAAAGTTATATGTTAAAAATCGAATCATTCATCTTCATTAAATAAAAACTAATTATTAAAAATTGCTTTCAGTCACATCGTGCTTTTGAGATAGTTTACAGTTTTTTAAAGGGAGGATTGTTTTGGAGCACCCTAACTTGGACATGTTTGTATATCAAAGTCGAACTGACCCCGTTATCTCTTGCTGCTGTAACTCTAAAGTTATTATTTCAGGAATTATTTCAAGGTCGAGGAAAGGGATTTGATGTTGAAAGAGCTCTATCAGCATCATCTATTTGGGATTTTGATACAGCAATTTCGATGGTGTCTCTTGGATATGATACCATTGAAGAATTTTATGCAAAATCTAGCACGCGAGATGTTGTTGGCAAAGTGAAAGTTCCTGTTCTTTTTATACAGGTTTTGTTACCTTTCTATGATGTTATGCTGCCTCTGAGTTACTAATTTAATGGCTATTAGACTGTTGATTTAGTTAGTAAGTACGTCATATACATTGTGGCAATTATGGTTGCTAATTCTTTTCAATTCCCCCTCATTGGTGCCAATTAGGTTACGCCGAAACATTACCATTATAATCTGGCTGTTTTACTTGATTTAGCTGTTGTTGACGTTATAATATATTTTGGCCTAAAATTTTCCAAGCAATATATCTGGAATTTAGTCGTTTTGTTAGTTAATACTTCTGTTAACTTTCATTTTTGACCTTTGTTGGTCGGATGAGCTTCATATTCTAACTCTTCAAAATGGATAAAGCAACTGTGCACATGTCTTCTGTACAAATTCCAATATTTGTCATTGACGTCATGTATTTAGGAGTTCATCAAATAACTCATACTTCATCGGGGTGTCAGCATTTTTCTACTCTTGAAGACCATGATACTCAGACGTGCATATAACGTAGGCAGATTCTTGTATCCATGTAATGTAAGTAAGAATGAAACTACTCAACGATGAAGTGCTAGTCATCAGCATGTTTTTTGTTCATGCAGTAAATAAATTGTGTGAAAATGTGTTTTGATGATACTAATTAAATCTTACTAAATGTTGTTCAAGGTTTGACAATTGTTTTTGTTTTTTTCATTGATTATCTAGAATGATGATGGAAAATTTCCGTTGTTCTCTATCCCTCGGAGTTTGATAGCAGAGAACCCATATACAAGCTTACTTCTGTGTTCTTATTCACCATCTAGCAGGATTATGGATGACAGGTTCACGTTCTCTTGGTGCCAGCACCTCACTTTGGAGGTAACAGTGTCTTTTAGTCGTTTAATGTGCACAATATCGCTACAATATCGTTTATGTGCTTTAATATAATGGCCAAAATGCTAACTTGCAGTGGCTCGCAGCTGTTGAGCTTGGACTTTTAAAAGGCCGCCATCCACTTTTGCAAGATGTTGATGTCACCATAAATCCTTCAAAAGGTTTAGCATTGGTGGAAAGTGGAGCTTCTAGTAATAAGGAAAGAGTTGACAAGCTCTTGAATCTAACTAATGGGAATTCTACAGCTTCTCCATTAGAGATTTTTCAGGCAAATGATACCACGGGCATCCAATCAAGATCTGCAAAAGATATAGGAGGATTGCCTCCTATAACAGAAGTGTTGCAAAAAGGTGACAAAAATGTAGGGAAACAATCTGTAGAAGAAGGAATCAACTCTGATAATGAAAGAGGACAAGTGCTACAAACCGCAGAAATGGTTGTGAATATGCTTGATGTGAATATGCCTGGCACTCTGACAGATGATCAGAAGAAGAAGGTAACATGAAGTTTTAGTCTATTTAAGTTAGTTTATTTAATTTATATGCTTGGAATTAGCGTGCGCGTGAGTTTTGTACTTGTAGACTTCATAATGTACCACAACTCACACATTTTTTAAGAACTGTGTTTTTTACAAACTTGAAATTCAGTGCCGACTTAATATGCATATAATAGGCAAGCCAAGGAATTTATTTTTGGCAATAATGATGAAGTGGAAAAATAATGTTTACTGTGGCAGGTCCTTAACGCTGTGGGTCAAGGAGAGACAGTTATGAAAGCTTTGCAAGATGCTGTACCCGAAGATGTTCGTGAAAAGCTTACATCTACTGTTTCTGGAATTTTGCAGAGTCGTGCGTCTAATCTAAAATTTGATAAACTCTTGAGTCGTGGACAAACTCCTGATGTGACATCAGACGAAGTGCAAGAAAAAACTAGACCCGCAAAATCAAATAGTGATGAAAATGTTCACTCTTTGGACCAAACGAAGAGGACTAATGACCCTGGAAATGGTCGTGCTAATGTTGATCGTAGCTCTGACGAGGCTTCCGGGGGGGTGGAATCAGAAAAACATTCACCAGAAATTTCACAGAAATCAAACGAAACAGATATAGATCAATCGACCAGTAACCATGTAAGTAAGACTCCTGATCCAGAAAAGGTGAACCTGAATGACAAGGAAAATTCTTCTGAAAATGATCAAACATCGGGGGGTAGTATTGCCAAAATTTCTGATAAGGAAAAAGTGTTAAATTTAAATGCTGATCAAGAGCCTGATGGAGCTAAGGGTATTGTTGCGGACCAAATGAAAGTGGAAAGAGAAAGCGGTGAAGTTCGATCAGACCAGATGGACGAGAAAAATAAGCAAGAAAATGATATTTCAGTCGATCAGAATAAGATATCTGAAGCCCCTCACACAGGGGAAACATCTTCAGATCCATCCGTGATTCAAAAGGAAGCAGAAAACAATCAGCGGAAGGGCGGTGATCCCCCGAGCTTCAGCGTCTCTGAGGCATTAGGTGCACTAACAGAATTTGATGATTCCACCCAGTTTGCTGTTAATAGTGTATTCCATGTGATTGAGGACATGATTGATCAGTTGGAGGTGGATAAGGGCAATAAAAATGAAGTGAAAAATCCAGATAATGGAAGTGAATTAAATGAAATCAACGAGGTAAAGGAGAGTGACTACTCCGTATCCAAGAATCAGCTCATGGAAAACAATGATGAATCTTCTTGGACAATTGATCTGAGGATTAATGCTAGCACGCAGTCTGGTAATTCGAACGGTACTACTTTGCATGATCCACCAGGATCTGGCTACAAAGAAGAACCAGAGTATTTCACACATAGGGAACACTCTGGTAATAGTTCTGAGATAAACAATACAAGGAGCCAAGTTGGGAATGAAAATGACAATAGTTTTGTGCCTGCAGCTGGAGAACTTTCAGAAGGGAATTTCTTGAATTTTGTTCCATATGAAGACCCACTTTACAAAGAATACCTCCAGAAGTATCTTGATTTGAAGATCAGAAATGAAAAACTTGCAGATATGGCTAAAATGCCATCTTCGTATTTTGAATACGTTCCAGAAGAAGGCCGGTGGAAGCTTTTAGAAAGGAAGGAAGATAATACTGCTTCTGCGGATGATGATGCAACTCGTGAAGGTGGTTTTACAGAACACCAGGCCGACACACAGCCAAGATCTGAGGATGCTGATAGAATCATTGAACCCACTTATGCAATATTGGATTCTGGTAAAGCACAGCACCAAACTGAAGAACTTACGGAAATGAGCAATGTCAATGAAAATACTGAATTTCGTGAGATCGAATTCACAGACTCGATGCATTTCATCAAAAATCTGATAATAGAATGTTTAAATGTCGAAGTTGGTCGTAGAAACAGTGTGGCCGACGTGGAAGAATTGGACTTCGAACTTGCCAGAGAAACAGAGTATGTTGCAAATGCTGTATCCATGGCAGCAGTGCATGGAGTAAATGACAATCTGCTGGAAAATCCTGGGACCCTTGATGGAGATAATATAATAAAAGCTATTTCTTCTGCTGTTCAGAATACCCAATATCTAAGAAGAGTATTACCTGTTGGTGTTGTTGTGGGTGCTAGCTTAGTTTCCCTGAGAAAGTTCTATGATGTTGCTGTATTGGATGGTAATGACGAAAATAATTTGGCCCGTGATCATGTTGATAAATCGACAGAGAAACTTGTTCAAGTTAGTGAAAAGGAGAGTGATGAAAGGGTCTTAAAGAAAACAGAGGATAAAGATTATCTCGCCAGTTCAGTCTGTGAAGAGGAGGAGGACAATATTGTTCTCGGAAATTCTAATAACAATGGAGTTATGGTTGGTGCTGTTACAGCTGCTCTGGGTGCATCTGCTTTATTTGCGCATCAATCGGTAAATAAATTTTCGCTATTCTATAAATATTTTAATTACGTAATATGATTTTATTCTTTCGACTTAATATGATTTTATGTACTATTTGAACCCTCCCACTCTTGAAACATGATATACTCTGCTTTACAAACTTGATATATATTTCAGATGAAAGCTATAATGTTCAACGTATCTTGTTTTTTTTTTTGGATCAATTCAATGATTTTAAAGGACTTTTTTTAAGCATCTAGGAGATTCTGGTCTCACCTTTATTTTATAGTGGCTTCTCAATTGATGCCCAAACTGATTATAAAAATGCAATTTGATTGTATTTATAAAGAAATGAAGACCAGCAGATGCTACCACTTCTATTGGATTTATGTTGCTAAATATGTTATTTACAGTTCTTAGTCCTAAATTCACTATCTTGGGCTTTGTTGACAAAAATGTGCAAAGCTTATTTTTGTGCAAATATTGCTGGAATATAGTTACAAGTTCTAAACCTTATGCATGCGTGAGTGTAGTCACTGAGGTTAGTTACCATTAACTTTGAGGTACGTTATTTTTTTCGAACAATGTACTTGTAGAATACTGAAACTGGCGGAACTTTGGGTGAGCCCTTGAAAGAAAAAGAAACCAGCAAAGTGCCCTCGAAGGTTGATGAAATGTCTGAGAAAACCGAGAACAATATAGTCACAAGCCTTGCAGAGAAAGCAATGTCTGTTGCTAGTCCCGTGGTGCCTACAAAGGAAGATGGAGAAGTCGATCAGGAAAGGTTTGAAAAAGATCTATTTATTTTCGTCATATGTCCTTTTTATTTTTATTATTTCCTTATTCCGGAAGTGGTTGGCTATGTGAATAGGTTGGTTGCAATGCTTGCAGAACTGGGACAGAAGGGGGGGATTTTGAAACTTGTTGGCAAAGTTGCTTTACTTTGGGGTGGAATACGTGGTGCTATGAGTTTAACTGACAAGCTCATATCGTTTCTTCGCATCGCTGAACGTCCATTGGTCCAGAGGTGAACTAAGTTTTTTAACTTCAATAATTTCCCGTTATGATCCATGCTTTGGGTAAAGGATCAATGGTGTTCGTAGAAGTACGTGACTGCTTATTTTCTTAAAAACAATGGCTGATTTATTTTCTATAAAAAAAAATAGGTTAACATCTTCCATCTTATAAATGCAGGATCCTTTGCTTCATTTTACTGGTCCTTCTTCTATGGTCACCTGTTGTGCTTCCATTGCTCCCAACACTAATACAAAACTGGGCAACACATAGCCCCTTTAAAATTGCTGAGTGTGCTTGCATTGCTGGCCTTTATGCCTCCGTCATGGCTATGATTACATTGTGGGGCAAAAGAGTTCGCAAGTACGATGATCCTCTAGTGCAATATGGGCTGGATTTGACTTCAGTTCCAAAGGTATGGACGTGGCTAAATGCACACTTGTGTTATTTCTTTTCATGGAATCTCGAGTACGTATGCCAAATATCAGAAAACTTGGTAGTTGACTAATGTTTACTGCATTAATAATTCTGACTTGAGCATAAAATTTTGATTGCCCGTTCCAGAATTTTCTGAAGGGCCTGGTTGGAGGAGGAGTCCTTGTTATTACGATACACGCTGTGAATTCCTCACTCGGCTGTGCCCATCTACATTGGCCAACTACTCTGTCTACATCATCTGCAGAACCTGTAGTAGCATTAATTAAATCGTACGGGAAGATGCTTATGCTAATTGCTCAAGGAATCGTCACAGCAGCCGGTATTTCCGCTGTGGAGGAAGTGCTATTCAGGTCATGGTTGCCTCAAGAGATCGCTTCTGACTTTGGGTATCATTATGGATTAGTTCTCTCCGGACTAATATTTGCTTTATCTCAAAGGTAGTTTTTTTTTTATTACAGTTCCTTCTCCCTCATACACTATGGTAATTCTAAATGTTTTTTACATTATTAATTAATCTATTTCATTTTAGGTCAATGCGGGAAATTCCGGGGCTATGGTTATTATCTCTAAGCTTATCTGGAGCTCGACATAGAAACGGCGGAAGTCTGTCACTACCAATTGGAATTCGGGCTGGGATACTTTCGTCCAGTTTCGTCTTGAAAACGGGTGGATTTTTGACCTATCAGACAAACATTCCTCCATGGATTACCGGAGGCCACCCTTTTCAGCCATTTAGCGGAGTGGTTGGTCTCGTCTTTTCTTTGGTTTTGGCAGTTGTTCTCTATCCTAGACAGCCACTTCATAAGAAAAAGCCAATCAGAGTCATCAGAGGGTAATATGTTTTATTCTTGATTCACGCACAAGCTGTTTTCGATATGTTCTCCGATTTTGAACCGGTGAGAAAAATGGAGCTGAATATATCGTGCCTCGGTTGGACTTTGCCGATATATTAACACAGGCAACGACGACCAAAGAGGAGAGAGAAGAAATACTTGAAGAAAAACACAGTTAAAATGCAGTTGTTCTATTGTTCGGCTAGGATACTCGTAGAACTCTAAATGCTGCCCACTTTAAGTAGGAAATATATACGCAATAAAGTGATACTATGTATAGGAAAGTGTTAATGCTCTCAGTTGTAGATGTAGCTGTTTATAAATCTCTGGCTCCAGTTTCTGTATTCTATTATACACTCGTCGGGAATTACGAGTGAAATTACACGCAACTTGCCAAGAAAGTATATATTTCGCCGAAAATTCTCTAAATCGATGAAGACGAAATCGATAATTTCTCTCTGCAGATCCATTTAGTGGCAATTTTACAGAAATCCTTTTTTCCATATAATGAAAGAAGTGTGGTCTTTTAACAAGAAGCTCTGCAGTAAAATCCTATTCTCAATTTATGTGCAGTAATCCTAAAAAACCCTAATCAAAACCTCTTTTCCTAAAAATCAATTATGAACCACCAAAGAGTGGGATCACAGTTGAATCCAACCAATCATCTCCTCCATGCAAGAACTCCTCAGCTCTAAACTGCTTCACCACATCTTCACTGCAGTTCTTTCTATACCCTCCCCACGAAATCCTCCGCCTCGTATCCGCTCCGGGCCCAGAATTCCTATACTCAATGTACTCAACTGTACCCAAACTACTGTACCGATCCCACTCGAACCACCCTCGCGGGTGTATCAAATCCCCCAAGTAACTGTTCACCACAACGGTCCTCGAATAGTTCCTCCACGGCCTCCCCAAATAAGTCGAAAAATGCTTCCTCTGCCCAAGATCGAATTCCTCTGCAGCCTCGATCGTGCAATTCTGTAAACTAATACCCGTGTTCTGGTTCGGATCCTCTCTCCCTTGAGCTGTGATCATGTTCCTCTGTCCCTTCACCGGTCTTCGGACGAGAATCTTGCAGTTTTGGAATACTGCAGCTGCGTTTCCGAATATGAAATCTATTGTGCCTTGGATAGTGCATTCGTGGTAGAACTGACGAAGCGAGTGAGCGTATAGTGTGTCTTGATGTGAAATTATCCCACATCGGTAAAACGCCGCGTTTGAAGTCACCCTTAGAGCCACCGCTTGGTGCTTCTCTGGTGCTGCGGTGTTTCTTATTGTTAAATCCCGAGCCAAGAACTTGTCTCCCACCACAGCTGCAAAAACGCAAAAAGAGGAATCAATAATCAAGAACTCGAATATAGTTTTGTTAGTTTAAGAAAACGTCGTGTATTTTAAATAACGAAACCCCTACTTAATGTGGCCGACTGGAAAGTGGAGAAACCATCTACGAAGTTTTTGGACCCCGTGATTATCGTCGAATTCATCCCGTCTCCGACCAACATGATATTGATCTTCTCCCTCGGAATCAATACACTTTCTTTATAAACCCCGGATTTTATTTTGATCGTGTACGTTTTCGCGCTCATATTTGGCGCCTTTGCAATTGCCTTCGCGATGCTCGTGCAGTCGCCACTTCCGTCCCAGGCGACAATCGAGTCGGGCCGTGGAATATTATTCCTCCTCCTCTTCACTGCCGCCGCGTGCTTCTTTCTCCGACGAACAATCCTCACGTAGTTCGGGTCGATCACGGCCTTCGATTCCGTGTTCTTGATAATTCGGTGCACCCTTTTGCGGTTAATATTCTCCACGCGCTTGATCAATGCCAAGGTATTGCTGATCATGTGTGAAATTGGGGTCAGCAGATTCTGAAGGTGTTCTCTGTGAGTACCCTTTTGGGGGTTTCTACCCCCACCGACCAAATCAAGTTCTTCCAAATCGGAGAACCCATTAATGCAAGTGTTCTCATTCGTCATGGCGGCGCTCAAGAGGGTTTTGATGTTACCGTACGACCGGCGGAGATTGTAGCCTGTTGTCGGAGGAGGAGAAGAACCGCCGCCCAATTGGATTAGGGCTTGTTCGAGTTCGTACAGGGTTTGATCGAGCATCTCCATGCAGTCTTTGAGGGCGTTCTTCTCCGGCGAGGTGAGATCTTGGGTTTTGAAATTGGCGGAGATGCGGGTTTGGGTGTTCTTCACGTGGCCGGCGGTTCGATTGATGGCGAATTGGAGAATGTTCTGGAAGGTGGTGGAGTTGTTGTTGTTCATGGAGGTGGGGATTAATGGGGAGAGGGTTGTGTGGCAGAGAGAGGGGTATAGGGTTTCTGAGCAGGATTTCTTGATGAATGATTGCAGGGGAGAAGGCGGCGTTGTTGGTAATGGGCGGCGGCGGCGGTGGTGGTTCGATGAGTTTATGAGGAATAGTGAAATGAAAACGGCGGCGACGGCGAGAAACGCGACGAGCTTGATGATTAGTGTGTGGGTTTTTGTTAGCTTCTTGATCGTACTGGTGGACTCCATTGATTAAGGTTTTTAGAGTGGAGAAGACGATTGATTACCAGAACTGCAGAAGGAGAACTTATATATATATATATATATATATATATATATATATATATATATATATATATATATATATTGATGAGGTTTTTAACCGTTTAATTGAGTAAATTGCAAATACCACCCCTGTGTAATCCTTAATTGCTAAAAAAGTCCTTGTGTTATAAAAATTAGCAAAACCCCCCCTATGATTAAAAGTCAAAGGCAAAAAAGTCCATTAAAGTTGCTCGTGGTACTCACGCGCGGGTTGTGCGGTTCTTTTTGAAAATTTGGGGGTAAAATGACATAAACATCCTTCTATACATATAAATAAAAAATGTATGTTAAATTTGATATAATTATAAATAATTAAAATTCAAAGGACCAAAATAGCAATTTTTAAAATCTTAAATCCTAATCATCATCGTTCTCCCTATCAAAAAAAATCCAGCACCTAATTCTCTTCTTCCCCAAAATTTCTGGAACTCAAAACAACAAAGGCAACAACCACGGTCACTACCGCCGCCGGAGCCACCCCTAATTCTCTCAAATCCTGTAGCTCTGTCGAAGCCGGCAGCCTCACGAAACAGTGGAGGAGAAGAGCAAGATATCTTATGCCTCCAGATCCAAACCTCCCATTGTTTTTCTGTTTTTATCGTCTTCTCCGACGATGGTTTTAGAGGTTGCGAAAGAAGAAAATGCTGGTGTGGAACTGGTCGACGGCGCCGCCGTAGAGGAGGCAGGGGCTGTGCAATCCAGCTTGTGCATAGTGTGTGTTTCAATCTAGGTTTAGTAGTATTTTGGTAAATTACAATTCAGTCACCTAATTAAGTTTCAGAAATTTAGTAAAATTACAATTTGGCCTCTATTATATATTAATTCTAATTTTATGCTATTAACAAGGGTATATTTATCTTTTCATCCCTGGTCAATGACTAAAATAACAATAGGTGCGGTGAGCTAATAAAAAATATATATAGGGGGGTTTTTGCTAATTTTTATAACATAGGGACTTTTGTAGCAATTGAGGATTACACAGGGGTAGTTTTTGCAATTTACTCCCGTTTAATTATTATTTAAATCTTTATTTATTTATTTATGGTATGAATATTTAAATAAATTAAAAACTGATTACATGTAGAATTAAGCGGGAAAATAAAATCAAAACAAAAATAAATTTAAAAATGTGAAAAATAATAGGGGGTTTTACATTTTCTTTAATCCAGTGTAATTAAATGGACAAATTACGGCCACCACTGATCTAAATGTCGAATTAGAAAAGAACTTGTCATGTTTTGGTAATTACAAACACCCCATCAACTACGTATTGTCTTACATGTCCACCCTTACGGTGTCAAATTCACCTACTGAAATATGTTTTTCCGTAAGAAACTACGTAGTTAAGAAGTGGTTGTAATTACTCAATTAAAAGGAATTTTTTTCATAATTTAATCTTACTTCAAGGATTATCGAAATTTGACATAATTAAAAAGTAGATGAAAAGGATTCATTTATCCTTAACCTTACAAAGAGATGTAGAAATGACAAAAGAACAAGAGATAGAAGAACAATTTGATCTTTTATTTATTACTCTCACAAATCACAAATCCCATAATGTAAAACAAAAAATGGGATTAAATAAAATATTAAAAAAGTATTATCCCAACAAATAAGTAAATAACATTCACAACAATATCAATTGTTCCTCTTATTTAATAATAATAATAATAATAATAACTCCAGCAATCAACAAACTTCATTGCTACTCTCACTCAACAGCCAATGGAACAGCTTCAGCCTGCACACAACAACACAAACAAACATCAATTCTCTACTAATTAAAAATTAAAAATAACCGGGGGCCATCGCCCCCCGATCCCTACGTAAAACTCACCAATTTACGAAGTTTGAGCGCGTACAACATTTCGAGGTACCGTTTGATCTCGAGACGATCGAGCTTTGACACGTATTTCCAGAACCCGTAAACTCCCGCCAAATTCAACAGCCTCTCCGAATATATCTGCCATGTGTACCTACACAAAACAGAGACATTATTTATTATTTTCACCCCAAATAAAAAAAAAATTATTATTCCAAAAAACAAATTTAAATAAATAAATAAATCTTACTTCTCACGTATACGTTTAAGGCCACCCGTTGAAATAGCTTCCCAATGAGAAGGATCCTTCGTACACTTCTCGAAGAAACCAATAAGAATCTCGGCCACACTCTCGCCGTTGTACGGATCAATGTGAAAACCAGATATTCCGTCAACAATGATCTCGGCGGGGCCACCGTGGAGGGTGGCGAAAGTCGGCAGTCCACACGTCATCGCCTCGACCACCGTCAGTCCGAACGCCTCGTAGAACGCCGGCTGCACGAAAGCCCCCCGCGTGTCGGCTATATAACGGTACAGCTCGCCGTTTCTCACGCGGTTCATCTGAGAAGATATCCATCGGAACTGGCCGTTCAATTCGTACGTCTCGATAAGGCTGTACATTTTTTTCATCTCGGCTTGTTCTTCTAGATCTTTCGATTCCTTTCTCCTATCGCCGCCGACCACCACTAAATTGACCAGTTCCCTCAGTTTAGGGCTCTTGGCGTACAATTCCACCAGTCCGGTTAAATTCTTCACGCGGTCCAATCTCGCCATGGTGAATATGATCGGCTTTTTCTTGTCTTTCAGCACACATCTATTAATTCGAATTACAGTTAAACCTCTATAAATTAATACAGTCGGGATTAGGAAAATTCTATTAATTTAGCGAAATATTAAATTATCGAGTTAATACTTTAGCATGTTCTCACCAAGTCGGGACCGAGATAAATTATTATTTCAGCGAGATTAACAAGTTACCGAGTATTAATATATCGAGGTTCTACTCTATTAAGAATTCATCAGCCTTAGGCTCTGTTTGGTTTCATGGATTTTGAAATATGGAAAATGAAAATGCAGAAGCAAATAATTTGAAAATCTTTAGAATTATCCTTTCATCTTTTTACTCAGTATTTTACTTAGATCCAAACAGAGCCTTATAAGTGATTGAAAAAAAAAAAAAAAAAAAAAAACTACTTACAGATGTTCGTCGTTTTCGACGTTGCTGTAAAGAAGCTCCTCGATTTCAGGGTGGAAAGATGTGAGCCTCTTTTCTTCGTCCGTGTACGGGAAGTAAACATTCATATCAGCTCCCGGGGAGACGATGTTGAATTTAGGGTCGAAAACGTCGATTCCGTGCACGACACGGTACAATCCCGGCATTGTGAACGCCATATGGCTCTCGTATTGTCCGACGGTGTCCTTGCTATTTAATAACAAGAAAGTTAAACATTAGGCTCGATTTTTAAGTCGAAATATATTTGCGAAAAAAATTAATAAACGAACCTTCCGGCAATTTCTTGGAAGGTGCTAGTGATGATGAAGTCGGTGTGGTTCATTGCGAACAGATCGGCGGTGAACTGGCACGAGAAGTGGTACTTGTCGTCGAAATTCTTCACGTAGATATCAGAATCGGGGTATTTCGTTTTCTCCAATGCATGAGCAATCGTACACTGCGAAATAAATAAAAATTAATAAATAAATAAATAAAATCAAGAACTAGTAGTAATAATTTCATTGAGAAAATAGCATATAATAATTACATACTTGTGTAACTCCTAATTTGTGTGACAGCAAAGAGGCTGCCAAATTACCCTCACTATAGTTTCCAATTATCAAATCTGGCTTGCCCTGCAATTCTGCAGTTATTTCTTTCGCAACATCCTAAACGAAAAATCGAAAAAAAAAATTAGTACTTATTCGCCGATAAAACATATAAGCAACGGAAAAAAAAAAAAACAAGTAATCGATTTAGTTACCTCAGTGAAAGTTTCCATGTAAGGCCAAACCTCAAAACGAGAAATCCATTTTCGGAGAATTCCCTTCTCCGTTCGAAACGGAACTCGAAGAATATGCGAGTGTTCGGCTCCAAACACTTTCTCGAGACGTTGGCTGCAAGTGGTCCCCACTGCATCCGGGAGCAATCGAGTCACCTATTATTATTACACGAAAGAAAAAAAAACAAATTAAACTTTTGGTTTTGCAATCTTTTAAGGAAAAATCATAATAGTAAATGGAAACTAACAATGATAATTCGTGGCGTGATGTCGAGTCCTTGCTCCTTGATCCGTTTCAGCATCTCGCGCTCTAATGCCGGAACTTGATCCAAAATGTACACAACCTTCCGAAAAAAAAAATCAAGAAAATGTGGATATAAATACATACATAAATGTATATATATTAAGATAGTATGATACCTGGCCACCAGTATCAGGATAACCTAAGACATTTTCTTGAGCAAAGTAACCATGTGGAGAGAGAATAACAACATTGAAAACCATAGGAATTTTTCCGAGGAATTTCTCGAGTGTACTAGAATCGGGGGCCTCGAGTATGTCCAAAAGCATCGAAATCATTTCCGATACTCTGCTTGCAGTGTCGCCCCATCCTCGCTCTAATCCGATTTCTTGAAATTTTTGCTCGAAATCGGAATATAATGTCTCGGGTGGAAGAGTCGAGAGGTACTCCTCTGCCTTCCTCAGAACACCTTGCAGAGAATTAAGGTTCTCGATTCTGTCGTTGAGCATCATCGTCTATGCAATAAAAATCGAAAAAGGACAAAACATTTCATCAAAACATACAAAAGAAAAAAAAAGAACATGACATTGAACTTACTCCCTCCGTTTCAAAATAAGTGTCACTTTATAATTTTTTTTACCAATTTTGCCCTTTGGTGGAAGAATCCTATTATGGAGATAAGGTTGCTGTTTGTGAAGGGCATTTTGGGGTTCTTACATTAAAAGGAGATTGTTTATTAAGTTTTTTAATCTGTGTGCGCTTACCTTAAACGACACTTATTTTGAAAAACGGAGCAAGTAAATTACAACATTTATATACAAATTACTACCTTGCCGTTGTAGTGATGCATGCGAAGGAAATCGAGGAGTGCGGCCATGCTCTCGTTGTCGTGGAACAATTTGGCCGAGAGATGCCTGTTGAGGAACTCGACTCCGTTCCCGATCGATTTCGTGAGGGTCGGTTTGGGGAATGAGGCGGTGAATGGTTCGAAATCGAGCTCGAGTACAAATTTTTCATTACCTCTGCATCAACCAAAAAAAAAATCTCAAAAAAAAAAAAACAAAAAAAAATAATAATAAGAATAAAGGATCGACTCGAAGAAACGTACGATCCGTTTACGAGCTCTTCCTTGAATTGGAGATATTGTTGGACCGTAAGATCCTCGAACACTAATGTGTTCACATTGACTCGAACGTATTCCCAAACACCGGGCCTTAGGCGAATAGCGAGTGCAACCCACGGTGGCAACACAATTGCTTCCTATATATATATTCGAGGAAAAACAAAAGCATTTTTTTTAAGGCCTTGTTTGGGAACTATATATGATTTTTAACTACTTGATTGATAATATATATATATAATCAAGACCTGTGTGGTTTTGAGGAGTTGTTTGAAGGCATGATCCTGCAGTTTCGGCTTTTTGTCGGATTCGAATATTGCTTCGAATTCAGGCACAAGCTGGTGAGGTTTCAGTATTCCTTTTCCATGGGATTCAATTCTTCAATAACAACAATTAAGTAATTCTCATTCAATATAAGGAATATATATATATGTATATATATAATGTAACCGCCATTTTCAAAATGAAAAAATATGTATGTGTTAATTACCTTGATAGGAACAAGAGAATCTCATTGCGATGAGCAGCGAGGGTGGCGTCCAAGCGCTCACGGAGGCTGTGGACGCGAGTGAGAACACGCTCCGGCATTGTAGATGCAGGTAGCAAATTATCGGGACAGAGAGTTTTCAACTGTAAGACAATAAATAAATCAAATAATAATACCAAAAAATTCAAAAGTTTAGAATTTTTTGTGTTACGTGTTCTTTATCTTGGTTGTGTAATAAATAGGAAAAAGTTGACTACAATTTAGTTAAATAAACTAGGGATGGTAATGGGGCGGGGTATGGGGTCAGGTTTTGCAAATTCAGCCCCACCCGTCTCAAATTGCCCATCCCGTAAAAATTCCTATCGGGTACCTGCCCGGTAGAAATCGGTTCCTTCGACCCTACACTGGTTGAAAAACACCGGGTGGGTCTTTTGCTGCCACGTGTTCTTTTTTTTTATTTTTCTAAAACCCCTAAAGATAAACCTAGCGGGGAATCTATTATAAAATACAAAAAAGAGACACGTGACAGCAGAAGACACACCCGGTGTTTTTCACCTGGTGTAGGGTCGAACAATAGAAATCCCCGATAAAAATAATTATTTTTTGTGAAAGCGAGTTTAAAACAACAAAAAAGTAATTTAAATAGAAATAAAAAGAAATTTAAAATAATAATACAATTAATCATATATATGAAAATAAAATAAATTATATTATAATTACAGGGCGGGTATAGCCCGTCCTAAACCCGATTTAAAATTTTGTATTAATCCCCATATCCGTCTCATATTTTTCCGGGGCAAGAAATACCCACTATTTTCGGGACAGTGCGGGGTACCCAACGGGGCGGGTCAAATTGATGAGTCACATTCTAGAATACACACATAAAGCTTGAAATTTTGTAAGCCTAACACCTCATACTATAAAATGGACCCACAAAAATTAATATGAACATTGTTTTCTTTGGAGAAATCAAAATTGATCACGGAAGCAAAGCAATATGCGTGACAAATTAAACAAGCAAAATTACATGGCTGAGAAACTCTGCATCACATACATAATTGCCGCACCACATGCATCTAAACTTAGCATATAACATTACCAAACAAAGAATATCAGAGAGACACTATATACAGAGGATTATATAAAAGAATTTCAAAACAAAAATAAATAAAATGATTATTAGCAATTAATAAAAATCCAAAGAAAAGGGCAAAACAGATGGACGAGAAAAAAAAAAAAAAAAAAAATCTCACCTTGTGTAAAAAAAGAACCAATCAGAGCTCAGAATCAGCTGACCAATGGGAATATAAAGCAGAAAATAATGGTAGATATTTTAGGGAAAGAATGAAAATCAAGGCCCATCTTACATGTATATATATGCAAAAACAAAAAAGAATGGGGGGCCATGTTGCAAAACCACTGTCTCTCTCAAAACTGTACAACACACACAAAAAAACAAAAAAGTGGGTTTAATTAGTTTAATATTAATTAAGCCTAAAAACCACTTAACGGTAAAAACAAACGGCTGTTTTGTGGTGTCTGGGTATGACTAATCAATCCAGTGGATCCATTTAATTTGTTTAATTAATGATAATATCTATCCACTTTAATTTGCTGCTTCTTCTTGATCGAGCTCTGTAATGTTTTTTTATTTTTTTATTTTTTATTTATTTTTTAATCTAAAGAAGTTATATATTAATTATTAAATACATTATCTTTACTTGTAAAGTTTAAGGATTTAATATTATAGTACTACTAATGTAGTGGGCTATGAGGTTTGTTTTCAAAGGTTTTATATATTGTATTTGGGACTTTGACTTGGATTAGTGCAACTTTGCAGCTGGTTTTAGGCTACTTAAAAGCAGTATTAGATATTTGTGGCTGAAAGGGGCAAAATTGTCATTTCACATAGCTAGATATTTTTATATTTGTGGCAACTTACGGCCAGCCCCCTCAGGTATATTCAAATTACGACAATTATCCCCTTACTCATGTATTGTATATTTGTATTACACGTCCACCCTTACAAGTGTCAAATTTACCTATTGAATGTGTGATTTTTTCGTAAGACAATATATAGTTGATGGGGTGGTTGTCAATTGTAATAATCAAAATATAAGGGGATTTTTCGTAATTTTAACTTACCTTGGGAGGTAATCGTAATTTTCCCTATATTTATTTGGTGTGGTGTACATGGCATAATATTGATCATTTACTGTAAAATAACATATATTTCATGGTGCTGCCTGCAATATGATGAATTATTAATCATCAAATATTTCTGATAAATTACTAATATAGATACTTTAGCTCTAAAAGATTACAAGGTTTTATATGTTAATTTAAATCAAATATATTTCTTATAGTTTCATAAAATATAAAATCACCTTGCAAAATTTGGCACTAAAGTGAAGGTCCTTTCTTATGTATACGTGGCATATGATTATTGGACCGTCAGGAAATATATAAGAGGCAACCCGACACGTCTGGTGTGACTTTATTCCCCACTTCGTATATTATCTCCTTTTTTGTCTTTTTCTTTTTTGTATTTTTAAATCGATTAATTAAATTAGAAAAAGACTGATTATAAAAATATCATTAATTCGAAAGATTGTTCAAAACCAATAATTGTTCTAACGAAAATGCTATTTGCGGTCACAAAATTGCTATTCGCGGTTTATAACAAAACCCCCCAAAACTTTTAAAAATATCAAAAAACCCTCCAAAACTGCAAATAGCAAAAAAAAAAAAAAAAAAATCGAAAATTCGAAATCAAGCTTGAAGAAGGGTTGGGCTTCGATTTTTTGATGTAATTTCGACTCTTTTATGTGTAACATGAATTGGGTAGGTCGATTACGGAACCAATTTCATGTTAAAAAGCCCTACAAATCAATTTGTAGGGCTTTTTTTTTCGCAAAAAAATGTTCGAACGCCCAAGATGGGCGCCCAAGGCGT